CAGTCGGCAAATTTAAATTTTCGCCAGTGCTGTGGCGCTGCGATCTTTGGCTATGTCTTGGGCTACTCAAATATTTTACGTTTTTGATACTAAATTAACTTCTGAAGTAGAATTTTTTCTTATTTTTATATTTTTCAATATATTTATTTTGTTTCTACAAAATAAAAAAGTAATTTTTAACGATACAATAGTCTTTGTTAGGCTTAACATCGACGAAAATTCAACGCAAAGCGACACACAACGGAGAAAAATTTCGACATCAGATACATTAAACTATTTTTTCGTACGTAAATCAGTTATCTGAAATATCAGTTATCCGGACAAGCCCAGTCCCCAATTGATTCGGAAAATCGATGCTCTACTGTATATGCTCTCCACCACAAATTAGTAGTGGCTTGTTCCAGTACATCAAACTTTTCCTTTATTGTTAAAGTCATGCCTGTCATATATCTAACAACTTTCAGGGGAAAATTTTTGAATTGAAATAATGTGACATCTGGTTTCATAAGAAGTTCTTATATAGTTAATCAGGACCATCTGCCCCCAAGGTTTCCATATCTGGTCTCAAATTTCATCTATCTAATTCTGTTCTTGAGATTAATGACAGACAGACAACAGTGGGAATTTACAGGTCTACAATTTTTTCAAATTGCAGCCCAATACAAAAACTACCACCCACTAAATCATTCATAAAAAGACTAATTCTTTCTTGTAAAGAAATATTAATAGAATGAAAATCTCACAGATACAGTATACTAAGTTGTCCATCAGTTATTAGATTATATTAATAATTAGATACAAAATAATTTGGTTGGAGAGTTGGCTAAAAGAGTATTAACCGCCTACCTTCAGCCAAACTTTTTTGTATCTAATTATTAATTAGCCTTAGTACAGCCTAGATACCGCAAAAGTTTTTTTTAGAAAAAGTAAAAATTATTACAATTACACAAAGCAGTAACTTTAAAAACAATGCACCATTAAATCTATATATTGCTGACCTGGATCTAATACAGTTCCCAAAATACATAAATACTATCAGACAGATAAGATCCAAAAATAATTTATGGTAGGCATATTTACAATCTCAGCGAGAATCACATCAACAGAACTGTATCAAACTGCTGGCTGTTACAAAGATATCTCGCTTCAAAAGACAGAAGGGTTTCATTTGCCATACAAGACCAAGACATTTACAAGACATTTTACAAAAAGTACATTTTGAAAAACAACAATCACAGACAACACTTGAAAAAAATGTCATATTCATAAAACTATACAATATATCAAATCAGATTAAAAGCATTTAGCACAAACATACTATTTACATTGACATAACCAAATAGCAAATGTAAGATATCAAAAGCTTGCACAAACAAATATTACGACAAATCCAGTAACCATCATACATACATACATTCTAGACAGTCTTAGAAAATATACTTGACTAAGCCATAGTCATAGACAAAATAAATCCACCACAACAACAACAGGCTTGACAACATTCATTAACAAAGAAAACAAATTATATACATCATAGACATAACTGTAATAAAAACTCAACATACTAAATACATACTGAAAAATTTAGTAAATACTGAGAAATTTGCCCATAAAATAGTCTGCAAAGAATAAATAAGGTATTTATTATGCTTTTAGTCTTCTCTTGTACAGACATCATAATACATACACTATATAAAAATCTAGAAAAATTAAAATTTTGCAACAGCATTTACAGCAAATCAACAAGTCTTACACAGTGCTACTATTGGATACTTAGAAAAAAAAAACAACACTAGGATTGTACCAAATTTCTATCTAAAGCCCAACACAAGTGAGTATCAAAGCAAACTGGTTTCCTTCAATGTCAAGAGAATCTGCCTGAAATCAAATGGTAGACTCAAGGTCAGTCCTTTTGATGAAAAACATATTCAACTTGTTTTACGATAGCAATACTCATGCACAGTCAATCAACAATCTATGATGATCATTGGCAATAGTTGAAAGCAGTCAGTCATCTAACATAAAAGTAGTTTCTGTCTAAACTTTGAAGCAACAATATTGACTTGTTTGTTATGAGCTAAGAAACAAATTACCAGTAATAAAGTTTGCAGAATTCTGGCAAAGGTAAGTAAGTTAAAAATGTTTAAACATCAATAAAGTTGTCTTATTTTTTTTTTTACAATAATATGAATCAATAATACTGAACCACACAGTTTGTTATTACAGTTCATTCTAAGACTGATGATAAAAAATTTAAATGCACAATAAAAGGGAGGAACTCTTTCATAGAGGATTTGATAGAAAAATTGATTTATAACTTCCAAAATCCCTAACTTTAGGTCTTAAGACTAAATGAAAGACAACTTTTTATAAGATTGTTTCTATAATATTTTGAAATAATTCTATATATTTTTTGTTATATCATAGAAGAGCTTCAAAATGAGAACATATTTCTGAGAAAACTTTTCATATACCACCTTTCATTATTTCTTTTCTCATTCAGATCATATGCACAATTCAATTACGAAATTTTAGAATAGATTATATTTCAGTAGATTATTTGTATCCAAATGATAAAGGTTTTCTATCATCATTTTAATTATTTATATATAATACTTATATTTAATTCAATTTATTAATTTATATAGAAATAGTCAAGTGTATAATTTAAAATAAATGCAAATATACTTTAATCTTAAATACATATAACTTATTTATAAAAATAAAAACACTAGATAGTGCTCAATATTTATGAATAAATTCTATTCACTTAGTAAAAAATAGTTATTTATGCTTAAAATTATATTTTTAATTATTTATTCTTGTAAGAACTTGTCTAAATCTTTTCTCAAAAAAATTAACTTTCATCCTATATAAATTTAAAATTCTACTTTTGTACTAAAAATAATTTATGATGAATGACAAAAATTCACACTTTTCATTAAATTGCTATAAAAAAAATAATTACTACAATATGCTTCTTGTTTAGTTTAAATTGTGTTGGTGAAATCTATGATGGCTTCTTTAAAGTAAGTCTAGAAATAAAGCTATCATAGCAGCTCATCAACACACAAAAATAATTATTTTAAAAATATTAACTTATAAGTTTTGATGGCTAACTGAAATATAAACAAATTATAAAGTTATTCATAACACAAACTTCTATATTTTTCACAATACTATACAGTAATTCAAATATGATGTCACCAATTTTATGTCTGCCTATCTCCTCTCTGTCACATTTTGTCACCAGTTTTTAGACATCTCCTATGCTGATGTCATGCTTGATCTGCCATCCTGTTATTAAAATCAATCATTTTTGTAAAACAGATCTATAGTACATTAATTTATTTATAAATTATTTCATGCCAAGGGAAGACTAATTTTAAAAATAGAACAATAAAAAAAATTCACTGATTTACCACAGAAGTCTAATGACATTGTACTAAATAATTACCTCCTAGACTACTGGTATATCTTTCAACAGTACTATTGTATGTAATTTATATCCATAAAGGTTAAAATGTTGCCATTATCTTTTCATAAAAAAGTAATTTGAATATTGTATTACTTTGCAGTGACATATTACATGTGAATGGTTCCATATAATATTTAAATTAATTCTACATCAACAAAAAATTCTTAAGGGGCTGTCTATAAATGACATCCACATTGGAAGGGAGAGAGAGGGTTATGATAAGTCAAACAAGTGGGAGAAAAAGGGTTGAACTTCAACAGATGTCCGTTTTATTTCATTAAATTTTATACAGTTTATACATTTTATTATTCATAAAGTGATAAAGGTTTTGAAGGAGGTTGAGTTTTGTTGGACATCTGAAGAGGGGAGGGGTTACAGAAACTGGGACAATGGGGGAGGGGAGTAAAAATTTCAAGAAAAATATGGAAGCAATTTATGGAGTTCAACCACTATTTTATTTCAAACAATCCTGTTTATTCTTGTTAATTTCTTTACGATTCCTATCATTAATTAAACAAATGCATTTTTCACTGGATAATGTATAAATTTAAGTAGCATTTTAGATAAAAGTAATTTTTCTACATTGATAAGCAAAGAAATATAACACTTAATAGTAAGAATTATAAATTAATCATATTTACACCCACATTTTTACGATTTGATTTTTATTAAGCAAACAAATTCTAATCAAAGGAGCTCAATATAGTTTGCTTTTTAAGACACTTAAAATTTTTACTTAGCATTGCAAAACTGAATACATTCCAAAAGTTTAGTAAGAAGATATAAATACGTTAAAACACAGTTATTTATAAAACATTAATAATTTGTTTTATTAAGGATTGAAATCTATCATTAAAAAACTGAAACGTTCTTTTTGATAATTACTTACAATAATTAAGCAGACAATACTTTAGACTAATTAATGGTAGAATAATGTTATACGAAAGATAACCCACATTTTTAAATAGTTATCGATTATGCTGTGTATTTAACATAGACAAATTGATTTCTAGAAATATCAATGCACAATTTTCTATATATAAATGTTTATAAATATGAATCTGTTACATTCTGCCATACTTACAATACTAACACTTGCTCTTTTTAACTCTTTATTCTCTTCCTGTAGAGTTTTAACTCTCATCTTGCAAGTCTCTAGTTCAATTTTCATCACACGAATCTGCTGTTGAAGGGATTCGATCCTATTTTGATATTGTTCACGAGTTAAAGGGGAAGGAATCTCTAAAGATTCACTCTCGCTATCCGCCATCTTGGATTCTGTTAGGCCTAAATATTCTTAAGTTCTTCCTCTCGTAAATTCACAGATAAGACGGCTCAAAAGTTATAAAATTCGATTGAATGATTATATATATATTATCCTAATTTCTTTAACTCCATATAAAACTATAATTTCTGGTCGAATAAAATGAAAGCAGACGATCTTAACGTCCCGCCATCGTTACCGATTATGATTGGTAGCTCTCAAACTTTAAAGCGACACCTTAAAAACCAGTTAGTTTCTTTCCGTATTATACATTAATTAATTTTACATTTAGTTACTTTTTATAGTTATTATTTTAAATTAATCGGGGTATATTTTTATTAAAATTAAAAAATTAAACTGATTTGTTTAAAATTATTTTGAAAAAATTATTGCGTAATGTTTTTGAACTTTTACTAAACGCATCGGCCTTCATTTAATAATAAAATTGACATAATTTATAGCCTTATTTTCACTTCCTGATATTTAATAATTCGAATTATGATGATAAATAAGAATTTTGAAGTTTTCCCGGAATTTCTAACAAAGAAATATTAAAACAAAAACTTTAATTCAAATCATGTTTTTAAATTAATCCTCGTGACCTTTCCATGAGCAAACTATTCTTATATTTATACATAGGCCTATAGTTTAAAAGAAAAAAAATTATCAAGTGATATTAATTTAAATAATTTGATTAATTTTGCTTTCCATTCTTATATGAGGAATCCAATTTTTTTTTTCCAAATAACACTATGCTTACAATATTAAATCAGTTGTAAAAATTATTCCATTTTCAAATTATACTTGGTCGGATGCACGACTGAAAATGGAATTAAATAAAGTCCGTATAACTAGACAAACTCCTTTTTTGAGAATTTATCTAATTACACAACTAATTCAATTTTAGATTCCTTGAAATAATTGTTAGGATAAATTTAATGATTGTAATGAAATGGTAGAACGTTTGACACAGTAGTAATAAAATCTGCAAAGGATCTGTAAATTTGGATATACACACATTCCACTAAATTATTAATTTAACTAGCACCATATTCCATCATTATACACTACTATTGATAAATATGAAATTAATGGTTTTATGCAAAACTAACAATAAGACAAAATTATTGAAGTATTTATGGTAGATTTAACCTTATATTGCGAACTTTAATTCTGTAACTGTTGAAACATAGAATTCCATATGGTTATCTCAGAATTAAAAAATCCTTTTTTGGAAGAAAAAATCAGAGAAATCCTAAAATAACCAAATTGATATTATTATAAAACTGTTATTACAAGCCATATATCCTGATTATTTTAATTAATTAATGGAATATATATATTAAATCAAAAGGTAATTATTTGACTTATTTCAAAGGATTAATTAATATATATTAAAAGTTTTGTAATATGATTTTTAATTATATGATTAAGACTTACAAAAATTCTACTTTTAATTGATTACAAATGTAGAAATCTTTGTACAGAAATGTATTACTAAAATTTTAATCTTATATTTTAGGTAATTGTTTTTGTTCAAACATAAATCAAATACCAGATCTAATATCTGGCTTAAAATAAAAATATTCCAAATTAAAGTTAAATAGCATTTTTAGCAGAAGGCAGACTTCGCAATAAACAAATCCCTAAAATTGGTTCAGAAAGAACAAACTCTACACAGTTTTAATTATTCAAGAAATTTTTGCAGGTATACAAGTTTCATTTTCTCTCCAATACATAAGTATGAGTATATTATGAATAAAACACTGAAAATTATAGATGTATTGCTTGATATAATTTGATAATATTGAGAAAATGGATTGAAAAAGTTTTAAAATTTGTAAAATATTTTATTTAATATAAATTTATTAGCTTTTGGCTTTAACTAAGCAAATTATATACTAAATAGTCAAAATAGTGATATATATAGAAATAGTGATA